GGCCCGGGGCGGGGAGGGGGGAGAGGCCGGCCTAGGGGCCGGGGAGCTGGGGCGCGCGGGGCGGGCGCGGAAGGGCGGAAGGGGAGGCCGGATGGGGTGAGGGTAGAGCCCGGGCGGGCGCCGCCTGTGAGTGGCGCCAGGATGGATGTGCCCAGCGCAGCCTCCGCGCACTCTCCTGGGAACAATGAGACCCAACAAAGGGTTCTCGGCTCTCCCACGTGGTGAACCGCGTCCGTTGCTCGGCAAAGTGAGGCACGGGAGGGGGAGGGCCTTGTTTCGGGAGCGCACCCCCTTCCCAGGGCCCCGCGGCCAGGTGCGCTGGACCTGGACCTGGACCTCTCCTCTGCCCTCGTCTGCACCTGCAGCTCCCAGACCGCTCCCTCTGCCGCCCCTCTTCTGCACACCGATTTTGGCCTTGAGCAAGCGTCTCAGTTTCTGTTCCTTACAGAAGGCGCCAGGCACGCTGTCGCCAAGGGAAACCCCATCAGGCTCCTGACCCTACTTCCTTGGGCTCAGACATCCCCCATCAAGCCTGGAAACCGCGCAGGCCCAGAAACCGTAGTCCAGAAATTACCCCCAGGAAACCCCCAGCGCCCGAGGCACTCTCTTTCATAGGTGAGTGGATCTTCCATAGGTGAGCGGTGTTTACTGAGCCCCTAGTGGGAACAGCCTGGTGCTGGAGGGTCTGGCGGCTCCCAGGAAAGTCTAAGACCTGGTCTCTGTCTCCAGGAAGTTTACCCAGAGAGAAGGCTCACAATGGACTTCTGCTCAAGAATAAGGCAAGACCGGAAGTGACTAAGTGTAAGGTGTTGGTAACCGACGGTAAGTGCGAAGGGGGTTCAGAGAATGAAGATGAAACTGGAGGGCCTGTTTGTTGAGAACAGATACCTCAGGAGGCTCTGCAGGAGCAAAGTGGAGAAGGCTTGGGTGAACAGAGTCAGCCTCCAAGTCCTTCCACAGGTGACTGTTCCGTTCTAAATCACACCTTGCACTGACAGATTCTTTCTGCATCCCACCAATGTCTAACTTAGTTATGTTTGAATGGTGCCGTTGGCTTGGTCCATCAAGCATTCAGTCAACAAAGGCTTACTGCATTTAGCTCCAGGCCTAAACTGAGCTTAGCTAGGTAGAAAGAAGCCAGTGACTAAAGTCCGTGCCCTGAGCGAGTCAAGGGGAAAAGGGGGATATCGTCCCTGGTTCACAGGCAGGAAAACTGGCCCAAAGAGAGTCAACAGGTGCCCAAAGCACCAAGGTGAGTCTGGCCAAGCTGAACTGAGAATCGACCCAGCTTCTAAACTTTGCTGACCCTTTGATGAACTAGATCTAAACACGGTTTGCCGTTCTTGCCATGAGCCATGTAAACGTCACTCTGCCAGAGAACAGAACTGAAGGGTCAACTCTCACTCCCGGAGACCTGACTCCCAAATCTACCTCTGTCACTACATTGCTTTAGTTTTCTTACTAGAAAAAAAATGGAAATAACTGTGGTTAGTCAAAGTTACTGTTGGTATTAAATTAGGCAGTGGACTGAAACTTGGCTCTGAAAGTATAATGTGCATGTAAGTGTGCATTATCTTATGCAGGTGGCATCCCTTCTTGAGCCTATAGAAGTAGTCAGGTCTCCTCCCCTCCCCGCCCCCCAGGGCTTATCCCAGGTTACTGGGCGCCCAGAAGCTAACTGTACTCTGACTCCTCCCCTCAGGCCGCAGTGTGCTTACGCATGATCTTTCCCCTTCGGTTTCTTAATGGCACAACCAGATGCTTAGCTAGCTGCCTGGAAGCCATATGATCAGTGGGGCAGGAGGGAAGCAATTCTGGGGTCTTTTGGACCCTGGGCGAGGGGTTCTGGAGCCATCTGAGCACCACCCAGCTCCTTGACCCCTTGCAAGACACTGCAGGTTGCTCAGCAAGAGGCAATGTGATGAAGCCAGCAGGGGTTTGGCTCCTTGGGACTGTTCTCCCCGCAAGCTAGCTGCGCCAAGGACAGGACAAGACAACCTAAGGAGCCGCCGTCTGGGTCCTGGTCCCGTTTGGAGCCGTGCTGCTTCCGTTCCTTTTTCCTCTGCCTCCCTTGACCTCTCTGGTTCTGTGTCCACGGTGGAGGAAGTGGGGCAACCAGACGGGCCTCAGGGCCAGATGCTTGTCGGGAAAGCCGTGGCCCCAGAGGCTCCTCCTTGGCAGGCGGTGGGTGTGGGTAGGAGGCCCGGAGCTGCTCGACAAATGTGCCTCACAGGCTTCTGGCTCCTACCAGAACGCCACACATGTGCCCCGTTAGCATCCTGCCCACCAGGAGGAGGGAACAGCAAGATGCCGTGTGAGGAAGAAATAAACCCAATCCAGCATCTCAGACGCTTTTAAAAATAGCAACTCTGGGAGGGTATTTCAGCTCCTATTTTTATCAGATTTATATGGCCGGACCATAGAGCTGAGCTGTTCCCAGGGTTCTTAATAGCAAGCAGGGGACATCACTGTTGTAGTCTTAGAAACCTGCCGCTAGGCCAAGGCATTCCAGGAACCTTTAAGCTGGAGGAGATCCCAAGAAGTCATTGCGTGCAGCTCTTGCCTCTGCTTGGGGCCACAGTCAATTAACCACAGACAGTTTATGGCTTGCTTTTTTGCTTAAGAATCTCTTGGTTTCTGTGCCTCCACACTGCATAATCTAGGATTTCACAGCCCTTCTAATCAGAAGTTCTTTTTAATATATAGCCCAAATATCTCTGGTTACATCCTTCTCACAGTAGAAATAAAGCTAACGTTTACCCAGTGACGACTATGTCCAAAAAAGGTTCGTCTTTAATCCCCACAAAACCCTTCATGGTGGGCACTCATCATTCCTAATTTGGAAGCAGTTAGGTAACTTGCCCACGATCATACCTGGGGGATGGTGCAGATTCTATGCCAAAGCCACCAGACCACACTGCCTCCCAGACATTTGTCCTTCGCTTGGACTTTCATTTCTTCATCATGGTCCTGAAGGACGAACTGGCCAGTGTTGTCATTGTGCACGTGTGTGTCATGCCAGAAGCGTGGCTCTAGATCCCAGCGTGCTGAGCCATGGTCCCCCGAACTGCCTGGCCTCTGCTTGTCAAGCGTAGCCTAGAAATTTGCCTTCTCTTTGCATTTGCCTTCTCACAGCCCCCTCTGCTTTATTTGAAGGCATTCACCACTCTTGTAATTACTTTGTAATTAATGCCTGTGTTCCTCACTAAATCATAAGCTCCATGTGAGCTCTAGCTCCAGATTCTTACTTAAAAAAAAAAAGTCGGGAAGATGTGCAAAACATGGGCATTGAATTGAAACACTTTAAACGGATTCAGTCCCTGCTTATTTTTTAAGTGGTTAGAACATGGTAACTTCAAGTCTGTGTAGATTTCAGAATCCAGTATCATTTCACTAATAATAGCACTAGAACAAACACAGGGTTGCCAACATTTATTTTGCTGAGTGAGGATATTTTAAAAACAACTACCACCAATGACTACCATCTTCTTTAAAAAAGGACATTTTAACATCAATATATACATGTTTGGAATGAAGATTTTCGTCCTTTCTGAGAAGGAAGAGTTGGCCGACCTACATTAGTTGATTCAGAAAGAAAAGAGATATACTAAAATGTTTTGGATATGGAAGTATTACAAGAGAAACAATTTCAAATATTATTTGTATGTAAATGTGTCTCGATTTGTTTCTCCGTACGGGGCTCTGTGTTCAGCTTACATGTCCCATTTGTTCCGAAATGTTATTTTTCTCCGTGTCATGAAGGAATGTTGACAAATCCAGGACACTCAGCAATTTTGCTCTGTGAGGAAACTTTTGGGCAAAATGAAAGGAGCCAAGGAACAATAGCAGTCATTCTTCCTTCCTTCTCTAGCCACGCCGAGGAGATAGTGGGCCAAGTACTGGGGGCTGACAGCCAGTTGTGGACATGTCCAGGATTTTCCCGGGGAGGGTGATATCTCCCCTGCTCCAGCAGGGCAGGGACCAGGCATGCACGGGGAGGGCACGCAGTCAAACACAGAAGACTTTCTTTGCAGCACACAGGACAGATGTATCATGCTGCCAGAGAGGGGCCAGCGTTTGCTAGCTGGTTAAGGTGGGGTCGAGGGCCCCTGGATCTTGCTCAGGAAGCTTTCTCCGGGGAGGCAGGATGTGGGGTTCTTCACAGTGACATCCAGAGGAAAGCTAGGGCAGGGGCGCCTGGGTGGTGTGGTCAGTTGAGCAGCCGACTCTTGGTTTCCGCTCAGGTCATGATCTCAGGGTCATGAGCTCGAGCCTCGCGCTGGGCTCTGAGCTCAGTGCGGAGTCGGCTTGGGATTCTCTCTCCCTCTCCCTCTGCCCCTCCCACTCATGCCCTCTCTCTTTCTCATCTCTCTAAAATAAATAAATAAAAAAATCTTAAAAAAAAAAAAAAAAGAGGAAAGCTAGGGCAGAGAGGGGGTAGGTAGCTCTCACTCTGTATCCCCTGGACTGAGAAGCAGGAGACCTCGATTGAGTGGAGCTCCTTTACTTGAGAGGAAAGCCCTTGCTCGGGAGGTGACCCAGTTGCTGTGACCTGCTCCAGGCCCATGGGGCCTGTGGTGGCGGGAGCTGCACTTGGACCCCTGTGGTCCCTGGGAACACAGACTCCCTAGAACTGACAGGAAGTGGTATGTGGTCAGAAAGCATGGGCCTTCGAGAAGAGGCCCTCTGGGAGTTCAGATGAGGTGTAACAGAGCGACTGACCCCTTGACTCGGCCAGTTCCTCTCTGCAGCTGGAGGCCCCAGGATGCAGGTTAAGACGGGGTTGCCTCGAAGATAGTCTCATGCGGTGGCGAGGGCAAATAGGTGTATGTCACACAGAGACCCAGCAGGATCCATTTCATGCCTCACCACACATCTGACCAGCCGTTCCCTGGAGGAGAAGCAAACACTCTCGTGGGCAGGGACACTGGCCACTGCGGGGGCCTTTGGGGGCATGAGGCCAAATTCCTGAGGTCGCTTCTCCCAGAGCAGTTTGCAGCCTGCAGGGCCGTTCTCTGGGCCTTAGTGACTCCGGCTTCAGGGGCCACGGGAGAAGTGACCCTCTTCCCCTCTGAAAGCAGAGTTCATCCTGACAGAGGAGTGCCTCCCAGCAGGACAAAAGAGCAAAGCCTTTAGAACCTCTCTCTAGAACAGCTCTTACCTACGGTCTCGTCCTACACTCTCCCAACCCACGGAGCCACACTCCCAGAGGGTACAGGTTGGTGGGTCTTCTTGATCTTCCTGTCCCCAACACCACACTGCAGTGCCGGCCCATGCAAGGTGTTTGGTAGAGACTTGATGGATGGGTGAGTAAGCCTGAGAGGAAGGAGGAGCGATGGGACAGATCACGCTGGGGAGTCAAGTCTGGGGAGGCAGGGAATACCTTGGCAGGGCTTCGTCCCAGGGAAATAGAGACCCTGGTCCCCTGGGAGGCTCCCCAGCGGTCTTTTGGGGTCGGGATTTGCCACGGGCTCATCTTTTCCAAGCATGCACCCGTGTGTGAAGCCAGATGAGAGCCCCACCAGCAGAACCTGATCTGTCAAGGAGAAAAGGATGCTCCCGGGATTGGGTCCCTCTGCTCTGTCTGCAAGGAGGGGCCTCTCTGGGTTGGCATCCCCTCCACTCCTGCTCCCCTCAATTATCTTTGCGACAGTTCTTGTACATGGACAAAACCGGCCAGGGGTTCTCTTAAACTAGCCGCTGCTTCATCTCTTCCTGGGGGGGGAAGGCAGCTCCCACCCAGGGCCACCCCTCTCCCTGTAACCAGCCCCCTTTGGCCTCACCACCGTATTCCACTTAGGCTGTCCCGCGACAGACGCGCAGGTCAGCTACCCCGCCGAGCACTGAGATTCCACAAGCATACTCCGTTGGTCTTCCTAGGGGAACCTTGTACACCAGCCTCTCCCACATACCTGTTTTCAAGGTAGCTTCCCAAGCGCTGCCTCTTTCTACTCCTACGGTTCGCTTGGCTGTCTGCCCCAGTAGCCTGGAGGGGAGGAGCTTTGTTTTCCCAACAGTTAAAGCACCGCCTGGCTTCAAAGTCGATCGTTTACCAGAAAGCAACACTATCACGCGTTACATTTACACAGCAGGACGCTTCGTGGATCCTCATCCCCGCTCTCTTTTACAAAGAAACAGGCTCAGGACACGTGGGGTCTGGTCCAAGGTTATGGGGTGAACGTCACCTCCAGGGGGAGAAACTTCGGTTTGTTCACCACTCACCAGTCTCTAGGGCAGTGCCTGGCCTGCAACGTGCATTTGACTCTGAATTGTCTCCTGGCTCTCTCAGTCCAGGAATTGCAGAATACGGGCCATCCCCGCCTTATGCTGCCCTCTTATCACTTAGCAGAACCCAACATCCTGTCCCCCCTGAGAAAGCCTCCCGAGGAAGCACGATCCAGCGGGGCTGAGGGACTAACGAGCAAATCCCAGCCCCTCTCCGCAGTATGGTATACCTGTCCCCGTGCTGAAATGAGTGCCTTATGTATCCAAGTGCGTACCCTCACGTGTGCACCCTGACGTCACCCTTCCCAGATTAAGTCCCCGAAGGCTCCCTAAGGCCACCAGCCTCAGACACTCTTAAGTCCCTTCCTGGCCTCCGGATTCTACGAACAGGGACCTGTGTCACCGGTCACACCTCGAATCCGAGCCCCTCGGAGCTCTTGTCCTCCACCACAACCGTATCATTTTGCCCTTGATGGGCTGTTTTGTGTTTGGTCTTCTGGCTGTTCTATGAGCTTGTTTTGTCTTCCTCCCTAGATAACAAACTCAAGGCCAGGGGCTCGCTGACCAAATAACAGAGGCAAAGGCAAGCTTTTTTGAGCTTGCATCATCTGATTCTTATTAAAACCCTCCCATTTCCAGGCAGCAATCCTTTATCCTTGTCAACAAGAAGTTTATCAGCGGGGCTGACTTACAGGCTGGAGGTGTGATCTCAGTTCTGGGGAGGGGAAGAGGAAGCACTGTGAAAAACACTCTGTAGATTATTTCCAGAAAGTTTTTGTATTTGGTTTTTTGGGGGAACTCCCAGACACATGGGCCTTGAAAACCAGGAGGAAGATACAGCAAATGGGAAGAAGGAAGGGGGAGGTGAGAGCAGAGTAGGAAGGACCGAAGACAGGGAAAGGCACCGTCAGATTCGGGACACAGAAATCACCAAGGATGGTGTTTACTGGGATTTGGAGAAAGCCCTTGGCACACATCCGGGTCAGCTGAAGCCACCACCCCAGACTTGGCTCCTGTACCAGGATCTTCCTACCCTGTTCTGCCGGCACCACCTGCCTCCCCAGTCATCAGTTCACACCAAAGGAGACCAATACTTTATTCACATACTAGGAATAAGCCAGTACAAAATACATTTTTTAAAAAATTCACTTGGTGCTAAAAATCCCGAAGTCCCTCCCCAGCCCCCCCGATCCCACACATCTGTGTTCTTCGCCGGACAGCCCCTGGGTCGGACTCAGCTCCTCTGGGCCTCCTGCAAGAGCTCGAGCAGAGCGTCATCGGCCCTGAGGGCGAAGGTGAGTGTGCGCTGCTGGTAGTGGTCCGGGTCACGCTCCAGGTTCTCGATCACATCCGCCAACAGATGAGCCCGCTCCACCCCGGAGCCGGGGGCCTCGAAGCCCAGGGCCGTGAAGTGCACGTGCAGGTGGTAGTAGGAAGGCAGGTAGTGCAGGTACACGCGGAGACGGTCTCCGCTCACCTGGTAGCGCTGCAGGATGGCTTCCTGATGAGAAAGGGGGGGTGGCAGGAAAGGGGTCACCGTGCTGCCCACAGGCCCTCCTCTGGCCCTAATCCCCGGCTGGCCCCTGGACGGCTGACAAAAGCCCTCCAGACAGCCCTCGCCACAGTTCGCTGCAGGTCCCTGTCTTCCATTCTAGGGACTCAACACAAGCAGGTGACAGTAGCAAACAGGGGCTTTTCTCCCAAATGAAGGGAACTGGGGCCTCCGTTAAGGTTCCACACTCCAACCTCGATAAAACACTGAAGCTCCCCAAACAGTCGCTGCTGGGAATCTAGAAGTCCCAGTGTCTAAGGACAGGCCCCAGATGTCTAAGACTATGGGGACTGTCCTCCCCCTGGATGACTGATGCCGACTTAAATCACTGAGTAGGTGGGAAGGGGGCCTGTATCCCCTCTTAGCATGGAACAGAGTGGAGCTGGGGAACAAGGGTGACAGGGATGGGGCCGAGCTGAGGCCTGGTGGAAGACAGAGCATGGGGGAGGGCACATGGGAAGAGCTGCCCCTAGAAGACCCAGGGAAGATCTCACTAGACTCCCGGCAGAAGAGGAAAGCATTAACTTTGACCCCGGCTCCCTCTGCCCACCCCCCACCTTGCTCAGGGGTAGGGCTGTTTCTACCAAACTCCCGTTCTGGAGCCTCCAAGGCTTGGCATTAACAGGAGACTCTGATTTCCACTGTGGGCGAATTCCTGAGGAGGTCAGAGGTGAGGAGAAAAAGACGAGGGCCTCAGAATACACCCCACAATTACATCCTACACTTGGGACTCTGCCTGGGGCTCTCTGCAGCGGGATGAGGCCAAGGCCAGGGCACCCAGAGGCCTTCCGGGAATCAGTATGGCTGGCCTGTCTGGGCGAGGCTGCCTGAGCTGCCAGAGCAGGTGGAAGTGTAGGCCCAGCATCTCCCTGAGAGAAAGACGCCACTCTGCCA